CCCCCCCCCCCCCTTCGCGGGGTCCGACGCGTCGTCTCCCGACTCCCGAAGCCCCCGACCGGAGTCCTCCCAGTCCTGGTTGGTCATTCCACGCAGACCTAAATACAGACCGGCACGCTGCTCGAGTCCAGAATCCTCTTCTTTCAAGCTTCTAAGCTCTTATACAGGGTGTCCCAAGCTACACGGAGAAAAAAACTTCGTGCGGGGACCCGAAGTTTAGGTCATATGGAAAGTTTTCGGATTGAGCATCCGAACACTTTAGGTCCAGCTGCTGAGGTTTGGATCACACATCTGAAACTTCAGTTCTTATATCTGAAGTACTTCGGTTCTCACATCTGTAGTACTTCAGATGTGTAAGAAGTAAGAACTGAAGTTTCAGATGCGTGATCCGAACCTCGGCAGCTAGACCTAAAGTGTTCAGATGCTCAATCCAAAAACTTCAGAGATCCATATGACCTAAACTTCGGGTCCCACGCACGAAGTTTTTTTCTCCGTGTAAAGTGCCTGTATACGGGAGAGTATTGCCGTCTCTGTGCCGCTCTCTGATTGGTTCATCAGTTTTAGGTTATCATGGAGCTCCGAAGTTGGACCAATGTAAACAAACCCGACCCAGAGGAATACGTAATATCGGCTGAGAAATAAATGATAATCACACTCAAAGATTAATTTTCGGGGAAAATATCCCTGCAAGGTTGATCCGAACTCAATTCAGAAGTTTTTCATAAACAAATTTCCATCACATTCAAAAGCACGTCTAGAACTTTGTAACCATCTTGTTTGTTTACATTGGGCCAAACCAGGAGCGGAGGGGCTGAGGTTTGTTTACATTGATCCAACTTTGGGGCTCCATGATAGCCGACCAATCAGAGAGCGGCACACTTCTTCTGTAGTAAAAGGATTGAGATGGCAATTCTCTCCCGTATACAAGCAGTAGCGATTTTGGTAAGTTGGCAACACTGTTTGTAAAAGTAAGATATTTAAAAAAATCTTCCAAGTCCGGTCGTTTTAACAAATTATGTATGTGAGAGGCAAACTTATTATTTTATGCACCTATACCTAAAATTCTTACTTGTTGATTTCTGAGCCGCTCGTTGTGTGAATTATGTTCTTCCTATATGTTTGAAGAAAAAACAAGAAACAGGGAGCCTCCGCTCACATATTGTCTGATGATCCATTATATGGCAACAAAAGGCAAAATTATTTGACTTGAAGGAATAACAACGAGGTAGTTGATTTTAATTTAGAAAGTATACGTACACCTCTCCAATTATAATTTAGAGAAAAGGACGAGAAAAGTTCTAGACGTGATTTTGGAGTTGATGGAAAAATTGTTATGAAAAACTTCTGAATTGAGTTCGGATCGAACTTCAATGGCTATTTTTGCCGAAAATTAACCTTCGAGTGTGATTGTCATTTATTTCTCAGCCGATATCACGTATTCCTCTGGGTCGGGTTTGTTCACATCGGTCCTACTTTGGAGCTCCATGATAACCTTAAACTGATGAACCAATCAGAGAGCGGCACAGAGATGGCAAATACTTTCTCGTTTACAGGTACTCTAGCTTGGGACACCTTGTATAAGAGCTTGGGAGCTTGAAAGAAGAGGGTTCTCATCGGATGGAATTCAACGAATAAAAAACCCGACCATGAGTTCATATGAACAGAAAGGAACAAACAGATCATTCGAGTTCAAGATGGAAGAATTTGCCCATGTACCCGATCATGAATTCATAAGAACAGAAAGGAACAAACAGATCATTCGAGTTCAAGACGGAAGAATTTGCCCATGTGCTTTAAGTTCAATGAAAGAAAAACAACCAACCAATCGGTTATAAGTCAAAAGTGAAAATAAAAACACGTTCATTTAAAAGCTCCTTGTTACACTCCGAAGAAAAAGAATGGCGTGAGATAGAGTACCTGTACAGCGAGAGTACGGACGGAACGCTTCATGGAGGGCTTAGGCCCAAAAGGGCAACCAGCCAGCCTCCTAGTACACAAAATTTCACGGCATATCTTGATCTCCTTTCAAACTAAGATGGCCAAAAATGTTCATAAATGAACGTTCTTCCTCAAAATTGAGTAAATTAATGCAATAACTAAACCAAATATGTGCTACACAAACGACTGGTCGTAGCAATTGCAATGATAAATCATTCTAGATAATTTGAATTCATAGGCATGCTGCCCTTTTGGGCCCTAACTCCATTCTTGGAGGCATCGGTGAAGGCCTGATGAATTTTTAGAGTTTCACCACCTGTCTATACTCTCGCTATACATGAGCTCTAAATTATTAAAAATTAAAATGTCGCATTTCAATCAGACATCACTGAACTGATCATTTTCATCAAACTTATGCACTCGATCAACATTTTATCAGAAAAAGCTGGCGCTGTCGACAAATCTGGCCAAAATGTGTGGTGAAATAAACAGTAAGTGTGCGAAAGTGAATCTACAATCGTACGTGCAAAAAAACCCGAAGAGCTGATAAGTTCGCAGATTGAATGCAGCGCTAGCGTTGCCTTCAATCGATGGGGATACAACTTTAAATACGCGTATCGCGAGGCGTGTTGCATAGTCTCTTATTTGCAGGAAATTACTACAAGCAGCGAAACTGGGATTGTGCCTCTTGTAATACAGATTATAATAATACTTTATAACCTATAACCTTGCTTTTGATTGTGATAATACTCGATTTAAAACTTAGTTGAAACGTTCTAGGGAATTTTATTTTATTATCGAGCTCACCATTTAAATTTTCACAGGACCTTGACATCAACTTCCCTTGAAACTCCTTTAACTTCCAAAAGTGACTTAAAAACCATTCGAAAAATATCAGTGCGTGGTCTCAGAAATACATTGTCTCTGCATGTATAATACATGTCTAAAGAGGTTTTTCGAAAAAAATCGCAGTCAACATGTTTACACGATTCATTGGCTCTCTTACGCACAATACATAAAAATGAATAGCTGTAGGCTTTGGCTGGGCGAGTGAGTTTTAGGTACATACGATGACACACTGTATGCGCTCGATAGACAGAAATAAAAAATAATTCTATAAAAAATGAAAGAATAATTTACATACCGAGAAGCAGCTCACAACATGGGATCCTGAAAAAATAAAAGAATAAAAACGTCAATACATGAGATAATAAAAATCTTCACAACTTTGGCATATAAGAAGAATGGGGGAAGGGCCTGAGCAGATAATCAACACACAGCAATTTTGAGACTTCAGTCTGTTTTTTGACGATGAATGATTCAGGTAGATGCAACCTACTTTGTTAAATGCATGATCAGTTTATGCGATTAATTTCAGCGAGGCTACCTGCGAAACCAGAACTCTGTTTTCGCCTGGCTTTCGCAGCCGAAAAAAAGTCCTTAAGGTGATTCGATGGACGCCATATTTTATGTCAGCACGGCATGCGATATATCGCATAAATTAATTCCATTTTTTCAGCTACTCGTCTTTTTTTTCGAATTTTGAGATCGCAATTCTGTTGTCAGGAGACTAAAGCACTCACTTACTAATTTTTACAAAGAAATTCAACATGATAAAGGAGTGGTTTTGTTAGAGAGAGAACATCGCATTCGATACTGATATCGAAACTGCACTCGAATGCTATATTTTTTCTCTAAAAAAACACGTCTTTATTACATTGAATTTCTTTGTAAAAATTGGTAAGTGAGTGCTTTAGTCTCCTGGCAACAGAATTGCGATCTCAAAATTCGAGAAAAATGAATAGTAGCTGAAAAAAAGGAGCCAATTGATGCGATATATCGCATGCCGTTCTGAAACAAAATATGGCGTCCATCTAATCACCTTAACTCTGTTTTCGCCCGGCTTTCAAAGCCAAAAAAAGTCCTTAATTTGAGACAAACGAGAAACCTTCGGTTAGATTTTCCTTCATTTCCGCGTGATACCACAACCTATACTCCTGACTTGGGAGTTTGAAAAAGTTGCGTGCTTGATTTCCCACATTTGTTAATGCCTGCACATAATACCTGCATTCATAAACGGCAGTGATCTGAGACAGGCGCAATTCTAAGATTTTACTTCAGTTTTACGCGGTACTGAATGACTCTTCAGAGTTTTAATAGTTGCTCGCTTAAATTGAGAGGCTTGGAGGGCAAGGCGCATGGGTTTTTGCTAATTCAAGAAATATGTGATAAAAGAAAAATACTTGAAGCCTCACGGCAGAAATGTACTTAAACTCGCTTTTAGATGCTTTAAAATTGGATTTTATTTTTAGTACAGTTCATGAAAATCTTAATTTTTTTCAAAATTTGCACTTACGCGCCTTGCGCCAACATCGGTAATTTGAGACAGGTACGAAGCTAAGATTTTTGCTGACTGTCCGCTTTGATCAGTGTAATTCATAATACATTTTCTTCCGTGAACATACTAAAAATACGCCATTTTTCCAGCGGTTTTGAAAAACCTAAGATATTATGATATCAACTTGGTATCGAACGTAAACATATGGCACTTGGACACACTTTGTCCATTTTAACTGATATATAAGCTCATATCATAAAAACTCGATTCTGTGTCTGGCGAGACTGACCCATTAGCCTTACGACTGCCAATTGCAGAGGATCAATAGGTGAAAATTACTGACAAGAAAGTAAGAACTTTTAGATACGTACCAGGGGAGAGTTATCCAATTGCCCGACGCCAAGCTGAAAGCACTCACGACACGACATTTTCACTGAAACCGCACTGCGCACTAAGAAACATTAGCTACCAAAAGGACATTAGTATACTAAATATTAGAAAAAAATTTTCAGGTTTACCGGAAAATGAATCATGTGTATGCACATGAGCTATTAAGTTACTTAAATTCTGCTCAAGTAAGGTGTTTACAATAATACATGAAATGAAAACAAGAGTGGAAAAATCATGAAAATAAAATTAAGACAATGATGATAAGTTGTACCTTGAAACCAGAAATACAACCAGAAACAAATTATCCGGTGGATGATCAGAAAACAAAAAAAGGAAACAAATCCATCATACTTAAAGCATGTTGTAAGAAAATGCTTTGTCTCCAGAGGCGGATCCAGCAATTTGGCAACACCGGATTGCCTCCATTTAAACCTATGCTAAATAATCGATTCTTCTCGAAACACCTGGCCCCTCCAAGAATCGATACATTTCCATAGGTTGAAATGGAGAAAAGACAATGTTGCCAATTTGCTGGATCAGCCAATATTTGTCCCATTACGTTAATGTCCAGCTGCAGATGCAATATTTATAATTATCATTTTTTTTAAAACAGATTTGTATGCTTTAAGTTCCTAAAAATTAACGTTTGCTTTGTTTTAGTGCACACACACATCAAACTTAACTTGATTACAACTACTTCTTGAAACAACCCATTTCAACTGAACAAAAAGAGTTAACATGTCGGGTTGAGGAGAATTGGTGACCTCATCACCAAAAAAAGGACTTTGGTAACACTTAAAACATTAAAATTAAAGGCCCGTAAAGGATTGAACACGGCCTGATAAAGGGAAAGGAACAACTTGTGTTTCTACTTTACTGATCCTCAACCAAAAGATCAAAATAGGCTCGGGATGATTATGAACTTCATTTCTCCGCGCAGCTATGAGATATTATTTCTGTAATAGGTGCATTTTGCACTATGTGTATAAAATGGCAAGATATCATGGATTTCACAATTTCATGCCAATTTTCTGCTTTTTCTGTGCATTTTCAGGGTTTGTGAACATACGATTCCCTGACTTTTCCATTACTTTCCGATTAAATTTTGGCACAATTTCACATTCATGCTTTTCATAAAACATTTTAAGCGCTCATCATTCATATTAAAAATTCTAAATTCGTGAACTTAAAGGCGGAAGTTGTGGTTTCCGTCCACCGTTCGTGTAAAAGCGGTGGAAAATGATTACTACACTTTTCGAGCGGAAGAAAGAGTTTCCATGTTCCACATTAATAATCACTGAAAGTCAGGTTGGGTAAAATTCCCTTACACCCAGGTTTTCAACGACTTTAAAGAACTCTTCACCCTGAAATGTACATCAGTATCAGGGCTGCCGATACACTCAGGTTTCGCAAATTTTTTACTCGCCTGCTACTCACCATTCTTTATTTTTCTCACCTTCTCTTCACCATTCTTGATTTTACTCACTTTTCAGTCACCATTTCTCGATTTTAATCTCTGTGTCTTGATTTTACACCCTCTTGTGTATGTTCTCGATTTAACTCCCTCTTTACTCTCCGTTCTTGATCTTTCTCACTCATTACTGGCCGTTTCTCAATTTTACTCACAATTTATTCTGCCTGAATTTGACTCACTTGCTACTCACCATTCTTTATTTTTCTCACATTCTACTCACCATTCTCGATTTTACTTACTTTGCACTCACCATTTCTCGATTTTACTCTCTCTTTACTCTCTGTGTCTCGATTTTACACCCTCTTGTCTACGTTCTCGATTTAACTCCCTTTAATCTCCGTTCTTGATCTTTCTCACTCATTACTGGCCGTTCCTCAATTTTACTCACAATTTATCAATTTTACAATCTCTTCGATCACTATGTCTCGATTTTACACCCTCTTGTCTATGTTCTCGATTTGACTCTCTCTTTACTCTCCCTTCTTGATCTTTCTCACTCATTACTGGCCGTTCCTCAATTTTACTCACTATTTTACTCACTATTTATCGATTTTACAATCTCTTCGATCACTGTGTCTCGATTTTACACGCTCTTAACTCACCGTTCTCAATTTTACTCGCACAAAGCGAGCGAGATATGAATTCTTTCAAGATTGATCATCGCTCCACCGATCGCTTTGACACACTGTGAGATACTATGATGGAGAATTCTTCATTAATCATTAGATTACTCACGAACTACTAATAACTCACACTTTACACACTGATTCGCAAATTACTAACGAATCGGCAGCCCTGATTAGCTTACAACTAAGAACATTTGGGTTCATTACACAAAAACAACAGTTTCCTTGACAGTTATTTGTTAGGCTGATTGTGAGAGAAAAATCGTTGTGTTAAAGGAACAGTTATTACTGCTCTTGCTGTTATTAATGATTCTGCTGCTGATTCTTCTTTGTTTGCTGCTGGTTGATATAACTTCTTCCTCTCCTCCTGCTCCTGTCGTTATTTCCGTCAACCTCCTATGGTGTAGTGGTAGTATCGCTTGCTCTACGATCGGGAGGTCCCGGGTTCGATTCCCGGCCAGGCGACCCGAGTTGGATGGTCTCAAACAATGGTTACCTGGGACTGGTTCAGTAGGGACGGAGGGGGGATGGGACTTAAAGCATGGGATTAGCCCTTGGGGGCTATTTGAAGTATAGTTAAAAAAAAAAAAAAAAAATCTCCGGTTTGCTTATGTTTTCCTAAATTAAGGAATTTTTGCAGCTGTTGTAACTGCCTTTGCTGCTGATTTTTGTGGTGAGAAAACAATAGGATTGAGATGTGTAAATATAGGAACACCCTAAGAATGGAGCGCTTGCAAGTAAGATGAAGTTGCGATGTAAAAGCTTGATGTAGCGTAAATTTCGCGAAAAACACGAAAGTGCCACTGGTTTTCTGTGAAGCGAATTCTAAAGCTAAAAAAAGTTTTCAAATTTGAGGTAGTAATGGCGGGGACATCCCACGCTATCTTGGAAATCCATCTCTATATCTAGTCCAGCTTTCCATGCAAAGATAGAGATCAAATACATTGACAGGGTTGCCGTGTTTTCAGTTTTGGAGTCCCCAAACGGAGTGGAAACTCTGTTGCTGTATTTCCTCCCTATCTTTGTATAGAAAGTTTGACTAGATGTAGAGGTGGACTGTCAGGATAGCAAGGAATATCCCCTCTATTACGGCCTCAACTTTTTTGAGCTTTGGAGTTTGTTTTGGAGAAAACCAGCGGCACCTTCGTGTTCCTCGCGAAATTCACCACAGGAAATAGTAATTGAATCGCAAATTCCTGACACATGTAAGAGACCCATTCTCTGATTAAATGCCTTTATTAAGATCAAGAGTGAGTGAATGCGAGGGACACAACACTCTCAACTTATCATACGTCCTACTTCCTACCTCGAATTTCCTAACTAACGTAAAGCCCTTAAGGTGATTCCTCCCAGGAAGTAAACCAGCATAGATGTATTGGACACATTTTACTAAAATACGAGTTTGGCTTTTCACTCATTGTGAAAAAAGAGATGCAATAGGGTAGAAGCGAACTTCAGCAGTCTGTTGGTGAAAAATCTCTTCCGGAAACCCTTAAATTAAAGTCAAATGAGACCTAACGCGAAATTTTACATTTAGTCTCATTCGCCTTAGATTGAAAGGTTTTCGTAGGAAATTTTTCACCAACAGACTGCCGAAGTATGCTTCTACACTATTTCAACTCCTCTTCTGCAAAGATTGAAAAACAAAACTCGTACTTTAGCAAAATTTTTTCGATACATCGATGTTCGTTTACTTCGTGGGAGGAATTACCTTAACCGAAATCCTAGTCCTAATCCAACCCCTCGTCCCGATCCAACCCCCCCCCCCCTTCTAGCCTTCGCCCACCTTAACTCCCGAATCCCGCCTTACCAAGTCAGTGAACTGACACCTAACCCGTTTCGGCTAATCCCACGGTAAGTGAAATGTAGGGATGCATGTCCCTCCCGACTCTTTCGGTCAAAATTCGGCTTTAGAGCTGAGGCGCGAAATTTGCATTTCAGTAACTTTTCAGCCTTGGCTGAAAACAAATATGATCGTCTGCTGTTGTTACAAACGAACCAATTCAGTGCAAACAAATTATTTAAGTTGAGTCGATGGTCGCCATATTTTGTGTCAGCAGGACATTTTGTTTATCGCACGTCGTTCTGACACGAAGTACGGCGGCCATCAAATTACCTTAAATAATTTACTTGCGATAAATTTGTTCGTTTTTCACAACAGCAGACGATCAAAATTGTTTTCGGCCAAGACTAAAAAGTTGTTAAAATTCAAATTTCGCGCCAAAGCTCTAGCGGCGGGAGCCAAAAGCAGAGTTAAGACTGAAAGTATCGGGAAGAGCATACCTACGTTCCACTTACCTTTGCTTTACCCAACCCAACACACAATCCAAAGAGAAAACAAGAGCCCGAATGTGAATTGCAGGCCGAGTGGCATCTGCTACTTTTACGAGTCGTCTCTGATTGGTTGATCCGCCTGGTGCCCACTTTCTGAAGCCCTTATGGAAAATAACAACACGAAGTTACTTTTCCATCGAAAATATCTCGACAATATAGAAAAACTAATGCTTCAAAGATTTCAGAAATCAATTCTTCAGATTTTTCTGAAGAGACTGATAGGTAAAACATTACACCTTTCCTCAAACATGGCACGCCGAACAGTTCGACCTGGAAGTTTGTTTTTTCATGACGTTCCGAGTCATATTTTTGAAAAAACAAAATTCTAGGTCGAACTGTTCGGTGTGTTGAGTAACAGCAGTCATGAATTACCCATCAATCCCTTCAGGAAATCTGGAGAATCGATTCGTGAAATCTCCGACGTGAAAATTTTTCCTTGCTTTCAAGGTATTTCCGATGAGAACTGAACCCAGTCTTATTTTCTGTAATGACTCTAGAAATTTGCCAGCATCAGGCGGATCAGCAAATCAGAGACGACTCGTAAAAGTAGGGGGTACCACTTGACCCGCAATGCAAATTCGGGCTCTTGTTTTCTCTTTGACACAATCACACATTAAAACTGGACCTAACTCCTAAAATAA